GGCTGCTCGGCGGGGCCGTTCCCTGACCTGCCAGAGCGCTGAAGAGTAGCACTCCTCCAGACCTGTAGATCTGTCTGGACTGCTCCAAGCCTCGACGGGAATTGGGACGTCGACGTCCTGGTGTTATTTTGTAGTCCTCCTGGAAGGTCAGGGTTGCGGGGGGCGCGCAGACACGGGCTGGCGATCCCGCTGAACACCAGCCCGACCCTCCTCCCCCCCCTCCCTCCTCCCCTTGGCCCCGCCATCCCGCCGCCCTCCTCCCCTCCGCCTCCGCCCCCCCCCCCCCCCTCTACCCGCCCCAGGGGCCGCTCTTTGGCGAGGCGGTCGGGATTCTGGGGGTGAAGTCGGGCACGTCCGCAGGGGAATCTTCAGAAACAGTGAAGACATAGTCTGGGGACGATTTCTCGGATCTTTCTCCGCATATTTGGATATTCTTAGGGGTACTTTTTCGTGCTTCGCCCAAGATCCGCCTGCAGGGGGACACATGGCGTCGGACGGCTAAAGCCTTGCGGCCGGTGCCCCCCGACCCCGGAGGCCCGGAGGCCCCGGCCCTCGACGGGCATGGGAGGGAGAATGGGAGGGAGAGGGAGGGCCATGGGCCCCGGGAGGGCGGCATAGGTTCGGGGGAACGTAAGACTCGAGTAAGCCGGAAGTCGGGTTTGCCAGCGTTGTTTGACGAGGGCGTCCTGGAATTGGACGGTCCAGTTTTCGTGGGATGTTTGCAGCGGGAGTTCGCGTCAATTTTCAGGTTGGGTCTCGTCATTTTTATGGTGGCCCCGTCAGGCCAATCCGAGTTCCCCGTGCCCGAGTCTTACGTCTCCCCGATAGGTGGTCGGGGCCTCCGGGCCCGCGCGCGGAAGACAAGTTTTTTTCTTCTGGGGGGGGGGGGGAGACCTGGGCAGGATGCTCGGGGGCAGCGCCGGGGCGATAGGCTCGGGGGGGGGGCCTGCCCCGATGGCCCACTCACGTCGACCGGGGCCGCGGCAGGATGTTCCGGGGCGGCGCGTGTGCAGCGCGCTGCTTGTGAATTTAGTTCATTTTGTTCTGTGCATGTGCAACTGCGAGTTTGTCTTGCGGGTGCGAGCTTTGTCCGCCGACACTGGCGGCTTTGTTCGCAGATTCGCCCCGTACCGCCACCCGGACGCCGCTTTCGCTCCTTGACCGTTGCTTTGGAGCCACCGACCAAAAAAAGTGTGTAGCGCGCTCGGGTTGGGATCCTTCCACGTCGGGGTGCCCCTCCGCCTCCTCCCGTCCTCTGCGGCCGCTTCGTCTGGCGCGTCTCCCCGCCCCTCTTGCACGCTGGCTGGTTCGCCGCTCGGTTGCGCCGGATCGCTGCTCGCTGGTGCGGACCGCCTCCGCATCGCCGCCAACGACAGACGATCAGGGGCAACGCTGGGGTGATAGGCTCGGGGGGGGTGGACCTACCCCAATCGCTCGTTCATCGTCGATAAGGGACCCGCTAGCCTTGGGTCGGGCGTGTCCCTCCACAGGAGGAGTATCAAACAATAGCAGAAACAGTCAGGGGACGATTTGTAGTATTGTTTGAATATGGTTGGGTATGTTTTGGCTATCTCCAATCATATGTTCAAACCATCGTCCAACATCCGCCTGTAGGGAGACGTGCCCGACCTAGACCTACCCCCATCGCCCATCCCTCGCCGATGCAGCAGGGACCCTCTGGCCCTGCTCGAGTTAAGTTAAGAGAACCGACAGCATCTGCCAAGATGACAATGAACAGCCGATCCCGCCCACATGCTTTTTGATAGTAGTATCTACCCGATCGACCTGAGATCAAGGTGGTGAGCGGGAATAAGATCGAATATGGGGGGAACAAATATTAGAGCTCTAACGATTTTTCAAATTTCGAGTTTTTTTTTTCCCCACATCCAAAGTGGGGTTCTTGTTTTCTCTGGACACCCCGCGCAGGAACAGGAACACACACACCCACACACACTCACTCACACTCTCTCATCATCAACCTCATCAGCATCATCGATGATGCTCTCTCACATGCTTAGTCACTCACATACTCATCATCACACCACTCCTACTACCTCCCACGCTCACTAACATCAGCATCATCAGCATCATCATCATCAATCGGAATCGGCATCATCCTCAATTCAAACATCTCATCGCCACCACCACTCACAACATCATCATCCTCTTTCACTCACTCATCTTTCAACCACCACTCATCATCCCTCATCCCCCTCATCATCGTTGGTAATTGTTATGGTAGAGTCCTCAAGCGGGAGCCCCCTCCTTATGGGGCCCGCAGATCATGTTGGTAATCCGAGCGGGTCCTCGGAACCCTGTAACTGTCGTCACTTTTGGGCTCGTCAAGCTTGAATTTGGAGGAAGTCTCAGGCGGGAGCCTCGTCTGTGAGTGAATTTGGAGGAAGTCTCAGGCGGGAGCTCCCTCCCTATGGGGCCCGCAGATCATGTTGGTAATCCGAGCGGGTCATCGGAATCCTGTAACTGTCGTCACTTTTGGGCTCCTCGAGCCTGAATTTGGAGGAAGTCTCAGGCGGGAGCCTCGTCTGTGAGTGAATTCTGAGGAAGGCTCAGGCGGGAACCCTCTCCCTATGGGGCCCGCAGATCATGTTGGTAATCCGAGCGGGTCATCGGAACCCTGTAACTGTCGTCACTTTTGGGCTCGTCAAGCCTGATTTTGGAGGAAGTCTCTGGCGGGAGCCTCGTCTTTGAGTGAATTGTGAAGAAGTCTCAGGCGGGAGCCCCCTCCCTATGGGGCCCGCAGATCATGTTGGTATCCGAGCGGGTCATCGGAACCCTGTAACTGTCGTCACTTTTGGGCTCCTCAAGCCTGAATATGGAGGAAGTCTCAGGCGGGAGCCTCGTCTGTGAGTGAACTGCGAGGAAGTCTCAGGCGGGAGCCCCCTCCCTATGGGGCCCGCAGATCATGTTGGTAATCCGAGCAGGTCATCCAAAACCTGTAACTGTCGTCAATGTTGGGTTCTCGCGCTGCCAGAACGCAGCTCCCAGGCCACACTTTGGATGCAACAAGGAAGTTTTTGGGCTCCTCAGGTCGCCGAGGTGCTGCGACATGGCGCCGAAGGCGCCGACGACGACGGCCAGGCCGAGGCGCGGGCGCGGAGCTTGCTGATGTTCAGGCCCAGCGAAAGGGAGTTCACATGGCAGAGCTCGGGGGCGCACAGCGTGCGCCGCTCGGGGTTCGCCCTGACGCACGCGTCCTACCTGACCTCCACGCTGTCGCAGGGCCAGACGCTGCGCAAGGGCGTCACCATCGACTGCGCGAGAGACGAGGACGCTGGCCGCACGGGCATGTCGGACGAGCAGTGGTGGCTGCGCCTCTACGTCATGTTCTCCCGCGCCACGTGCATGCGGAACATGCTGATCCTGCGGCCGCCGCCGCGAGAGTTCCAGGAGTGCGGGCCGCCGGCGTCCCTGCGGAAGGCGCTCCTGGAGTTCGACAAGAGAGCGGTTTTGTCCAGTGCGGAGGCGAAGCAGCTCGCGGCAGAGCTGGGCTTCGTGCTGCCTTCCGCCTGAGCGCGGCTGCGCCTCGCTCGAAGCCCGCGGGGTTGTCCCAACGGCTGGGTCTTGCGCGCCAGCGGCTCGCGGGGTTGTCCCGACAGCCTGGCCCGCGGGGTTGTCCCAACGGCTGCGCGACGTGACCAGTAGAGAACGCGCCTGTGCTGGCCGTGGCGGCGACGGCGCCGAGGAACATCGACATGCGCGCTCGTGCAACAGGAAGGGGAGGAGGTGGCGGGGCGCGGACCAAACAGGGGGGCGAGGATGGGGACAACGTAAGGAGTGGAAGGGGGGGCCCGCCGCCAAGCGAGAGGAAATATATCGCAGAGAGACGGCCAGGAAGCCTCACAACCAAAGAGGAACGACGGTGCATGGCTTTTTTCCCAGATTCGCCCCGAGGATTCTTATGGAGGG